CCTGCTCAGTTAGGGGGTTCATGGGGTTCGACTCCTCACTCGTTGATATTGGCAGGTGGCATGTATATCCTATATCCCATAGCCGTTTAAGGGACGGGGATTTTGTATCGCCTCGAACATAATGGTGCTTCCCTCATACACAGCATGTACTTGTTGGTTGACGTAGTCAACGGGATACTCTATGAGTTCGGAGGTGTTAGCCTAACTAAATGATCACCTCGGGAGAGACGGATGGGGCTATTCCACAGCCTGGGCCTTGGGACAAAAGCTTGGATACCTTATTTCAGGTGAAGGTATAGAAATTGATCCCGGCAAAGTGGATCATCTTCTAGACTGGAGAACCCCTACAGCCGCAATGGATGTTTACAGTCTTTGCGGGTTTGTAAATTATTCTCACAGATGGTGTCCTGCACTTATCGGACTTATTAAAGCCTTTTAGTCACCTACGTTTACACAAAGATAAACTAGGAGATTACACAAAGGTAAACTAGGAGATTACACAAAGGTAAACTAGGAGATTACATAAAGGTAAACTAGGAGACTACACAAAGGTAAACTAGGAGATTACACAAAGGTAAACTAGGTGATTTATGGACAGTAGAATGTGAGGGGGCTTTACGTATAGTAAAGACTGCCGTTCAAGCTGCTCCAGTGATGCGACTTCCTATTGACGGAATACCGTTTACAACAGTGACGGATGCTTCGGATAATACTGTAGAAGGAGTACTATGTCAGGTTATTGAGAACAAACCTAAAAGTGTACAGTTCTATAGCAAGAGCTTAAATGCTCAACAGCGTAATTATCCTACTGTAGAGGAGTAATTGTTAGCAATTCAATCTGCTTTGGAGTTCTTTAAAGATTATCTGTATGGTTCGCACTTTATGGTGACATGTGACCAGAAGTTTTTAACATATCTTAATGATATGAAGCCACACAATCAACTGGCGAGTAGATGGCATGACCGTCTATATCAGTTCTCTTATACAATAGGACATATACCAGTTATACACAATCACTTACGGAACATGTTGACTCGTCTATTACCACATTATCAGAAGACTGTCCGCAAGTTGTTACCAACTGATTGAAAGTTGCACCCATGATTCTTTCGGTTAGCTGAAAAGAGATGGGGTAAACACACAATTGATATGTTTGCAGCACTACATAATGCACAACTTCCGGATTATAGATCCCCAAACCACCCAGGAGGTGACGCGGTTGAGAATAATCTCAGGGAACACAATGCATGGGTAAATTCGCCTTGGAAATTAATCCAGCAATTGCTCACTTATGCTAACATGATGAATGCCACAATCACCCTGTGTTGTCTTTTACGGAAATCCGATCCCTGGCTTCAAGAACTAGTGTATATGATACATGATGAACCAATTAATTGTACCGAGAGATTGACACCTTTTTGTATATGGGTACCCCCGGGCGATCAAGAAGACGTCCTGGCGTCTAAGGAACTTCTACTTGGAAGCCTTCAGAGAACTTACAACGTAGGGTAGATGAATCTACCCTTCCCCTTAACAAAATAGATGGTAAAACACTAGAGACTACGCAAATTTCACATGAAGTATGTGCATCAACCTTGCATGGGAGTAGAGCTAAATATATAGCCGATCGTTTCCATGGTGGTATGAAAGATGCGACCCAAGTAGCTCGTACTAAAATCATATCATCCTCAAGGACAGATATGCTTAAGATTTATGATAAATTTATGAACTTGACTGACTTAAGTCAAGCTTATGGGCGTGATTTTTATCAGTATTAATACTGACGATCCTACAAAGGATACAGTACCAGAGGAGAATATCGATAAATCTATATCTCATGATGTTTCGGCACCTCAGATATCTCCTGAGGAGCCTATAACACAAGAGTATCTCACTCTCTCGAGTTCAAACTCAGGAGACGTTCAAACTTCTTCCGAAACGTCAGATACTGATACACTTAAGTGGATCAAGCAATACCATAGTCTGAGACATTCAGCAGTTGATGCAGTGATGGCAGAAGCGAAGCGTAAAGGTCTGATCAATCTTAATCTGCGTAAGCTCTGTGAACACGAGTATTTAAGGTGTGTCAATTGCGAAAGAAATCAAAGCAAGCGCTATGGTTGAGCCCCATTGAAGTCGATGCTCGAAGATGACCCGATGCGCAGGGTCATCATTGATTTGGTTGTATTGGATGTAGTCGGATGACCTTATGAGAAGTATGTTTTTCACATGTTTGATGTAGCCTCCAGGTATAATCTGTTTTATTCTGTCTGGAACAAACTACCTGAAACAATGGCAAAGTTATGCTTACGCATCTTTGCCGATCACGGCTACCCATTAGTTCTTATGTCATGATAATGGCGGCGAGTTTATAGGTGAAATAATGATGGCTTTTAAACTCATATCTGGCATATGTGAAAAACGGGGAGTTCCCTACAAGCCACGAACGCAAGGTGCCAATGAAGTTCGACACAGGAAACTTAAGTTTCTGGTAAGGACTGCACTAAAAGATGATGCTAGTGATTGGCCCTATCGTTTGACATGGGTACAAGATCAAATGAATGAAACACCTGATCCTGAAACCGGCGTAACCCCGTCACACTATTTCCGTGGTAGAAAAAGTGTGTTGCAATCTCCTGTAGAAGGGGTACCTGAGAAGGTACAGTCACTTAAGTGGCTGGAAAGATTAGACCGAGTACATAAGGTTGTATACCCTATACTTAAAGAAAAGTGAAACGCTTCACTTTTAAAAGCGCAAGGTCGCTGGTCTCGTAAGAAGAATCAAGTTTTCATAAAGAAAGGTGATTAAAATTCGAACCTGGTAAGTTATATTCTTACTATATAGGTCCTTAAATGATCTCTGTACATGACGAAAAGTCTGATACCTACGAGATTAATAATGTAGATGGTACAAGCGCACTTAACGTGGGCTTATTACGTATACCGAGTGACCAGATAAAACTCTGTCGAACATATGATGATACTACACCCCTTGAACACCATTTCAAGAATATATTAGGTATAGAATCCGGTAACGGAATTTTCCTGACAATGAGGTTCATAACCTCGCGTCTTCAGACTTTGGAAACCCAGACTACTTAAAAAATATCAACAAGAAATGGCGTAAACGCCTTCATAAAAATCAGGAAGATACAACAAGATCTTTCCTCAAGTCGATAGGATTGCTGCACACTCTTATCCAGGTCTTGAGTTCTGGTCTTATCTTTATAGATATAAACTTCCAAAATCTATGACACGTAAGCGTGAACACCAACAAGCGGGTAGAACTGGGAATACTAAGCGAACAAGGGTAGACTCGTTTAAGTGAGGAGTAATACATACTATTATAATTTAAGATACTATAAGTATTTACATACCTTATTACCTTAGGTTTTACATCGCACCTGCTTCCTTTCTCGCTCTTTCTCCACGATGGTACCCTGGCAGTACTATATTCGATGGCTTCGAGCTGACGGGGGGGGCTATGATAAATCATAGCAGGATATTACAAATTGTAAAAGGTAAATAGATTTACTTTATAAAATACAATCTGAGATGGCTCATAGTATAAAGGTTGAAGGTATTTACGTTTATTTTTTTAAAAGGTAAACGGAGGTTTTTATAAAGTATTAATTAATAAACTTAGTTTTCACAAACTAAAAAATTTAATTATCAATATCACGGACCTCGGGCCGACCCCTAGGGCCTTACCACACCCACCTGGGGACGGACTGTCAAACTTTTATTTTCAAGTTTTTACTTTTCTTGTTAAGTGGCCATGTAAATTCAATTCTAAAAAGATTGTTTAGATGATTCTATTATTAGAAATTAATATTTCTTGAGAAATATTAAAATGGCGCCAAAGTGCCAACCGTCCATTTGACTTAAAGAAATGAATATACTTCACTAGATTTTTACAATTCTTAATAAAATATCGATGAAGGCTGAGACTCGGCGGCCTATAAAGGTTGGGTTCTCCCTGACTAAAGCCTCAGTCTTTTACTAGTTACTTCAAAACAACAAGAAATTAACAGCTAGACTTGTACTAACTTAATTTTAGTCTACTGCGTAATTTACATTATTTTAATAAACAGCCCTTTTATCTCAACTATTGAAGCCCACATCAGTTTACACAACTATAAGAACCAACGTTGGATTCGTCGACTTCGCACAGTATCATCATCGCCCAATCAATTACAAATCCCAACAACGGCAAATGGTCGGTCTCTACATAAACTTGACCAGGTGGTCTATCAAGTATAGTCGACCAGCCATCAAAGGCTCAGACAGCAGCTAATGCTTCCAACTCTGTAATCTGATACAGTTGCTGCGCTAAACATTGAATTATACAATCCCCGGGAATTTTATTGCCTGTAAAATGTGGCCGAGGAGATCAATTGAATCATATAGATAATATTATTTATCGAGTCATAGCGTAAAATTAGTTGCTGGCAGCATATATAAGGATAACGATTTATTGCTACCATTATGAGTTATATTTAGAAGGGTATGCCTCCTAGAGAGGAGGAATAAGCGAATCCCTATGATGATGAAGAAGAGCAGGAAGTAGGCCCGGAAGATAAATCCGCTGACAGCCCCAAACCCAAGAAATACATTTTGAACAATCGCAAACGAACCGCCGAAGATGCTGAGCTTGATTCTTTGATTGATCAAGAAATAAGCAAGCGAGTTGACGCTGATAAAACAGAGTTACGCAAGCAAGCTAATACTGACAAGCAGGAGAAGGGCAAACAGTCTCTGCTAAACAAACAGGAGGAAGATAAACCACCTGCAACCGATAAAGGAAGAAGGTATTTGAACAAAGAAATCTTTAGCTATGTTGATTATTCGAGTACACGGCTGCGCAGCCGTCCAACTCCTCCTGGTTAAGCTCATTTGCACCTCAAGCATATTCATGCACTGCATATTGACGGGCTTCAAATCCAAAGTATTGATTTTCTTACCAGAATATCTTCCCTGACTGCACTCAAACTTTCTAGGATTCCCGATCTAAGAGATCTGAGCACGGTCAACGCACAGCCGAACTTCACGTTCCTCAGCATCTCGGGCGTGCTCAGCAACGCTCTATTTGCTTACCCCGCACCCACCGCGCTTCAGAAGCTGCGGTATCTGGAGCTGGTGAACTGCTACGTGGGGGCGATTTATCCTTTCTATACAATCTCTACTCGTTGGAGCACTTGCGGTTGTCGAACGTGCAGTCGCCGGATCTGCGCGCGCTGGCGGCCCTGAACCAGATGCTGACCGTCTTACACCTAGATTATTTCTCAGCCACCACCTAGGAATCAGTCGTTGCGCTGGGAACCCTGACGCACCTGTCGGAATTGTCTCTGGAGCACGTGACGTCGGCCGTGTGCACCGCATCTTACACGCTGCTCGGGCATCCAGACTAAGAAAGCTTATCGTTGCTGAAGCACACTTGCCGCTGCTGACACCACTTGCTCATCTGGAAGAGCTTCATCACGTTGACGAATGAATCAAATCTAATAAAGTTAAACAAGACTGTAGCGGTTGATATTGTTTTAATTCATTATGACCCACTCCCGCACCTCGTTTATATCTAAAAGGACATAATTAGTCTATTTATTAAGTCGTTAAATTTGTTTTCGAAGTTCGACTTGAAGTAACTCCTGGTTAGATAAACTAATAGAGGGTGCTGAATATAGGAAAGACAGATGATCCCTCGACAGTTACACACAATACGTGGTTATGCAGATAAAACTCGAGCTACTAAAGTAGTGGCATGAATAGTAATAATGCAATTTATTGGGGCGATTGGGGCGTGTGACGCCACTGACAAACCTTTGACCGTAAGTAACTCCCAGCTTCGCACGACGACCGTATCACCCATCTTCCAGGAACGGGGTTCATTAACGCTTAGGGCGAGTTTAAACGATTAAAGCCATTTTACGTTAAAGTATAATATTAAAGTTGAAAAAGGGCCGACGTGCCTTGAAAGTTGCACTTTCGTTTTCATAGGTGTGCCTTAGGTACATTTTTTACGTCCTTTTTTATTATTAGAAATTTTACTCGCGACTATTAGTACGTAAATGACGTCACACCCCCTTTAACGGAAAAATAGAGTGACCTTTACGTACTTTAATCAGCGAGAGACAAATTTTGTTAAAGGGTTTTCAAAAGAAACCAAAAATTGGACAAATCAATTCGGCCATCCCATTGGCTCATGACCTTTGATGCCTTTTTAATTTAACGAAAATCTTTAATCGTTTAGACTATCCGCGCCGGTCCAAAGAATTTGCAGAAAGAATTCAATTCTTTAGAAATCTTTATATAAAAAACCCGCACCGGGCGAAATTTTTGTCTATGAAAATCCATTTTGCATATTGTTTTGCGATTTTCAATACAATTTGCGGCCCAAATTCTTTTGAAGAATCGCAAAACAATTTGCAAAATGGATTTATTTATAGAAATCTAAATTTGTATCTACCAATAGAATACATTCAAACTCTCAGATTGCTCTGGATTATTTTTTGGATTATTTGTGAGAGGTATTCTATTTAAATTACTACTCTGGACCCCGTCTGGAGTATTTGGGCGGCAGTAACAATTTTATGGACTCTTAAATTGTATTCTGGATTGTTTTGAAAATCCTGCACTGGTGAATTGGAAACTGAATAGATACTTTGGATAAGCCAATAAAACTCCACGAATTTTCCTTGGAAAATTCATTTCATTTCACAAATTGTTTGGACCGATGCGGACAGTCTTATACTCGCCCTTAGCACAATCGAATAACCACACCATACACCCAGGAATCTAACCGGAGATATTGCCGCTTTGATCACGAACAAAGGGTTTGCACCGTCTGGCAAAAAGCTATCGACGACTCTTAGACATAAATTCAAGGTGGTGGAATCGTAAAGAGTCAATACGCAAGCCGGGCCTCCACGTTAGAATCTTGTATATAAACGTACTCTTATAAGTACGTAAAACTTAGTTTTCTTACAATGGGTTTCAATGGTTTTATTGATTAAAAAGCTTTTCCATATTACATATCAGATATTTGGACAAGGCTATTAAAGGCCCGATTAAAATAACAAAGATATGATTTGGACTAGTTCTATTAATAGAACTATATCTATTTTCCAAATCTATTTATAGCTGAATACTTCGGTAGCGAGATGGCTCAACCGAACATAGGTTTCTAGGGACTATAAGCGTTGCTTGGTTTATCCTCCGCACAGCCAACCAGATTGCCAGACTGATGAAGGCCTTGATAAGTGGCTAGTTACCGGATAAAACAATAAATAGAGACAACAAGAGTATTTTTCTTTTCCTTTTTTTTTCGAATTCGCCCCAACGAAACATAATAAATATTAGTTTCTATGGTACACTCGCGTATATAGTTTGTCAACTAAAAAATCCGTAGGATTTTCGCTACCTCTAAAAATAGGGGAAGCTGTGGAGTTTTTGGAGCCGATTCCTAGGGTCCTCCTATTTCGTGCATTGTGTCTACAGTCCGACATCCGACAAGACAGAGATGACACCAAACTGACATTTTACAGACAAAGATGACACCCGTTTCGCGTATAAAAAGGGGACTCAAATATGACAAAGAACAACAGTCCACAAAACTACCAGAGAAAAAAAGAGATAAACCCTTCAAACGTCGACATGAACACCCAGCCCGAGAGTACCGGCCTGGCCTCACCGTCGACGAACAAGACACCCAAGAGGACCTTCTCTCCCAAAGCTCCTCGACCAAGCAAACCCAGGATGACTCGGATACCCCCGAAGCTGATGAACCTACCAGAAAGAACCCGCATATCGATGGAGAATCAGACCCCAAGATGGAAGCATATGTGGCTGCTTTCGAGAAGAAATCTTCGCCCGCGACGCTGAACGTGAGGAACGCATGCAAGCCATGATTAACCAACGTGACCAGGAACAAGCAGAGAAAGACGAATCACATGAATCCGAGATTCAAGGTCCTAAGACTAGTCTTCTTTCTATGAACGAACAATTCAACGTCAAGAAAGTTAAAACCATAGACGATACCGAGGCTACCCTTCGTGGTCCCTCACGACTACTCTTCCCGAACCCATCAGGGAGAAACTGAAACAAGGTAAATTTGTAAAACTGTCCGCAATCAAAAGTGCGATGCACCCCACCGACGCACAAGAGAACACCTCTGAACTTAAGATGGTCGACGGGATCGCAGTTAAATCACACAAGGAATCTTTTACCTCCTCGGCTGATTTCCTCGACACATGGATGACGCTCATGACAGCCATGGTTACGAAAAGCAGCTAGAAACGATTTACTCGGCTACACCAAACTACTGATCGGGCACCTAGTGAATTATACCCCAACTGCCGTCGAAACTCTTGGCTACGTTCACCGTGGGGGATACGTGAAGTACGAGAAAGACACACGCTTGTCAATTATCGCGACAACAACAAACTGTCTGTTTGGCTAACAACACTGAACAACAGACGCACGAACACGTTTGGTAGCAAATGTGACATCAGCAAGAATTTATGCCTTTGCGAAGCTAGCGAGACGTCCTTCAAAGCTTCCAAAGCCACTACACCTGGGCGCAACAACAAGAATCAACGATGCATGAGATTCAATCGTTACGGAGTGAATTCACAGTGTAAGGCCGGCACATGAAGACTCAAGCACGAATGTAGCAAGACAAAATGCAATTCCCGCACCACTCACGGAGGCTGCGAACATGATCCCAGCAAACACGAATAAGATCCGTCGTGTGATGATTCGATACCCTTAAGAGTACCCAGAACAAAATCGTCAACACTATCTGCCTGTCTCCGCAAGACAATACGCCCAGACACCGTTCCAAATTTAAGGAAGCTAACGAATGCACTTCGGGGCTACGATAAAGAATTAAAAGATGCTCTTTTACATATGATCGAGTTTGGTGCTGACATTGGTTACAAAGGCAGTCGCTCGCGTAAAACAATATACCGAAATCATCCACCAGCATTTGACAATGTACCGGGACTCACTAGAACCATCACACAGGACGCAAACAAAGGGACAATCATAGGCCTTTTCACGAAAGACCAACTCGACAGGGAATACTACCATATTTGTCCTCTTAGTCAGCTAACAAAACTTAAGGATAATGGAATTGAGAAATGCAGACGCATCAACGACCTTACATACCCACGCAAAGGCAGATTTAAGGGAATCAACGCTCAGATCACACACGGGAAAATTCGATACACTTAACTTCAAAATGTCCTTGACAAGATACGTCATGCACCACCAGGCACTACTGCAAGCGTAGTAAAACTAAACACGACAAATATTTGGTCTCTTTTCGTTTACATTTACAATATGAACACTGACTTCGATATTGACCACTATGCCGAAGAAGCCAGACCTTCTGACAACTAGAGGAACACAAAGATGGTCTAGTTCTTGAAGTGCAAAATCTCCATAGAAAGAAGGCTGATCTGTGGGCACAGAAAGTAGGTGGGTACAAACGCGAAGTGGAAGAGGAACGCCTCAGGCTTGTAGATGTGGTGAAAAGACATGAATCAGAGGCCAGCGAATACATTGAATCAAATCAGAGACGTGAATGTCTCGCACAGCAAAATGCTAACCACTGGGAGGAAGTATCCTGGGAAAAACAGCAACTTGCTTCCCAGAATGTTCAACTTCAAATTGATACTGTGGACGAGATCAACAACCTAAACGAGACTAAGGCAATGTTGACGCAGGACATCGAAAACTTAAAAAAAGATCGAGAGAAAGTGTACGAAGACCTCGTAGGGTATCAAAAGGAATTGGATGATGTCTCCACCATGACAAAGTGGGTTGAATATAAAGCTTGTCAACTCTTACGCAATTTGTTGGTAAAACTTTCGAAGCGGAAGGCTGAAGAATCGATAGACGATAGAACCAGCATCCTCGAAAAGTCCACGACCTGATGCGATGGACGAATCGCCTTAAAAGTTTTGAATTTTTACCCATCGACGTCCATCAGACGTGTAGGTGATGCCGTCTAAACCCTGTTCCTGCATACCTGCGCAGCTTCTCGCAATGTATGCTGGGGATTTCCGAGAAGCAGAGTAGGATAATAAAGGTCTACACTTTGATACACTTTTTGCGGTTGTCGTGTTCTTTACCCACCGACGTCCATCGGATATGTAGGTAGTCCCGTCTAAATCCAGTTCCTGAACACCTGCGCAGCTTCGTGCAGCGTATACTGGGGACTTGCGAGACGCAGGGTAGGATAATAAAGGTTCACAGTTCGATACACATGTCGCTGTATCCTTTTGTAGCTCTCGAAGCAGTGGTAAGTACGAGGTCGTAAATGGTACCAAAAGAACAATGCCGCCATGTTAAATTGTGTCGCCATTGGGACTAGTCTAATTTTCTTCTTATTTCACAAAAGACCCGGACCACCTCCAGCTTACACATCGTGAACAATTGTTTGATACTGGACTAAAGCTCTCTTAAACGATATATCGTTACCATATGTCAGTACAGCCGTTGCGAGGAGGGAGCTTGCAGTATCAATACTATTTCCAGATACAGTAGATATTAATGCTGCTATCATGTTAAAAAGAGTGCTTCCGTTCATCATGTAAGAATCCCAACTGTGTGCGTTCTTAGACGCGGGCACATATTTTGTGATGAATTCATATACCCTCTTCTGTTCACTATTCTCAAAATACTTCAATACGGCCGCTTGCTTAAACATCAAACCTATAACCAGAAAGCCTCCAACAAGAATCGATAGGAACACATTTCGACTAATCTTATTTGCCTGTATATTCGAGTCGAGACGTTTTTTGATGTCTCTATCGTTGATTTCGGGATCGTCATAATCTGTGTTATCCTCAAATGCTGGAAAATTATTTGGAAACAGGTTTCGAAGCATATCTAGCATTGTCTTCTCACCCCAGTTTTGTCCAACAAGTAATTGATCCAGTTCTTCCCTACTCAACAGCAAATCCGCCGTATGGCTGGCCACGTTAACCACGCCGCCTCCGTCTTCGGCAAGGTGTATGGTGATTCTTCCAACAACGAACATCGAGCTATCAATGACTTCGGCGGCACCAAGTGCTACAGTTACGGCAGGTTTATTACCCATGAAGCTCAGAGATGATAGTTTACTCATCTAGTTAAAAATTTCCTGGATCGGATCCACTTGGTGTGACTGTGTGTTTGTATCCAGCTGCATTGTACAACCCCCCTTTCAGACACGAGTAAATGCTTGAAATTCGATTCGATGTTAGGTAGCTAATACCGACAAATATCCCAACTCCCATCAATACAATTATCAAATTACATTTGGTTCAGTTACTACTAAACCATGTCTGCAATTGTGGATCCTCGAAACTGGCTTCAATGGGGGTCATATGCACCGCTACAACATCTCTGATCAGGTTCTTGCCAGTAGCTTGTGTTTCTGGTCCAACTACGGGGAGCATATTGATTGTGATATGATTATTCGTATTATTAAAGTTAATGATTGTGGTATGCGGCACATAAGAAGTAGTTTGGTGTATCAGCAATATGTGGGATCTGGACTTGATTTGATTGAGGAATCACTGTCAGCGCATGCTCTGGTGATACTAACGATCGCTGTGTCGATATTCTACGTGGTGGGGGTGGTGATACTGACGATCCATATGTTGATGTTCTACGTGGTGGGGATGGTGATACTGACGATCGCTGTGTCGATGTTCTATGTGGTGGGGGCGATGGTTTTCGTGACACTTGTTTCGACGTGGTTGGCAGAACATGAAATGCTTTATTTTGTACAGGTTCGGGTTCGAGCGACGATGAACGCCTAGTTTCCGGTCGCGCATACGGCGCTGCCCATGGCTTATATAATGATTTTTTGTTTATTCTGGAAGATTGCCGTGGTTCAGGTTGTTCCGATGTGGAATTACGAGACGAAGAAAGAACAGTTTTCGGTTCCTGTGGTGTCTTTGATGATTTATTTATTTTGGTTTGCTTGATGCCCGAAGACTATTATAACCAAGAGTCGCTACAGCTCGTGGGCGTGTTGTTAACAAGCCTGTTTTTGGTGTCAAATTCTTATCCAATTCGAGCAACGATAATAACAAATCGCAGTATTCTGCAGGCATACATAAAATACCCGCTAGCATCGCGTCGTTGTATGAGATTTAAACCATTTAATAATACTTTATATTCACGTATTTATATATTTACACCAATTGGTATTTCTTTTCCCAAGTATGCCATTGCACATTCTATACTAAACAAATTGTTTGAATCCACGGCGCCATCAATCGTGTACACGCGCATATCCGACGCGTGCCCCTTCAAGCTTTTGTTACTCTTTAGTCCCGAGTCCATTGTAATGTACGAATCATAGTATATTGGTGCCACACCAGTGTTTTTCAATGATATATGTGTTTTGGCTTTGCCATCGCTGGCCACGGCTGCGATAAAGTATCTGTATCTCATTAATTGATCAACTCTTTTCGTACTCGCGGTCTCGTTGCGCAGATGATTGCACATTGAAAAGGTGAATCCTACTCTTTTACACTCTTCAATAGCCAGATCCGCATTAAATGTGCTATCGCCTGTCACATTGCCTCCTATCTCGCCCCCAAATGGGTGCTTGGCCTTGACACTGTCGACATTTCTCTTGTCCATGTTTTCGAGAAAAAAAGTCCTTGTGATACTTTGAATCAAACGTGGTGTCGTGAAAGTACCCAATCTCCAGCGATTCGAGTGGCCCCATGATATCACTGTTAAGGACATCCTGGCTGACTTGTATGCGCGTGACTTTAAACGCTGAAGTAACGGCTGAAAAGACTTCTAATAGCTTGGTGGGCGACGGCATAAACTCAGGGTTGTTATGATTATATGTTTCACCATACCTACTAAATCCCACCTGTATGCAAAATATGGCGCGATGACCATCATACTTTTTGGCTATGGCCAAGTACTGATCCTTAATCCAGTCGGCTAGCCCGTCGTCAAATGTGTGCGGGGCGCTAGTGGGTATGCGCAGCTTGTCGTCGGCGTTGCGCTCATGGATTCCGACTATAAGATGACATTTACCTGCAACGGCCTTTGCGATAAGCTCGTATAGTTTAGACAGGTCTTCGAAGTAGACGTGGGCAAACTTGAGCACAGTGTCTTTGCTACCGCAAAGAAAGCCTGTCATAGGTTGTCTACCATTGTTGGGGACTGGCACCATACCTGTGACTTGAGGCAAAGTGAGGGTGGAGGCAGCCGAGACCGACACTTGTTTTACAGTGTCTACACGGTTGAGCGCGATGACAGTAATTGTTACAGAAATGATTAAAAGCATTGTAATTGCGAAAATTATGACAACAAAGTTCATTTCTATCACAACAAAAATGGATACTGCAATCAAGCGTCAACATATTCGCGAAATACTCCAATCGTCGCGACGCATCACTCAACAACACCAGTGCCACCCACAATACCTGCGAAAAACCCTAAAACACCAGTGCCACCCACAATACAGAATTTCGGCTGCAGGGTCAAACGCCCCAGTTCTCAACTGATTCAGGATTTGTTGACAACTTCAGTATAAACAAATTTTGGACTGCTAGAGTCAACACCTCTGGTCTCAAAACCAGTCATGGCGGCGGCTAAATACTTTGTGTCAACTTCCCCGTATTTATTTTTCACTTCCTCATATTTATTTTTCTCTTCCCCATATTTATTTTTCACTTCCCCATATTTATTTTTCACTTCCCCATATCTATTTTTCACTTCCCCATATTTTTTTTCACGACGGACCTTTGATTCATATTTTCGTCTCCGAAACGTAAATCTCGGTGACCAGCAGGTCACCAGTGTAGAACTGAATACCATTTAAAAAAAACCCACAGACCCCACCAAAAAGTCGCATGAATACCAGACTTGAAATTTGGATTTTCAAATAAAATAAAATAAATCAAAAATTCAGTAGGGAGCCTGGGGACTTACAGTCCCACAGCCGCGAAAAATGTCGGGCCAGGCCGAATCCCCAACTGAGACGTTCGTTCCCAAGGACTCCTTGCCCAATGACCTATGGAAATTGGACTTACAAAAATCTATCACAGACCTCTCGCCCAGGTTCTACCAACTCCGAACAATGATGGGCCCATCTCCAAGGAACCTTTCACTGATGACCAATGGAAATCAACCATGCACCAAATGCTCACCAACCTCTGTGCAAAAGCAAACAACCTCGAATCCGAACTCCGGGACCTTAAATCCCAAACCCGTGCACCTATAGATAAAGACACACCCGACACTTTTCGATTTGGCTCCACAAGCCGGCCTGCTCCGCCAGCAAAAAGACCGCGGTCACAGGCGCCCAATAGCAGCAGTGAGCCTCCCAGCTACCGCTCAAGAGTGGACAAACCTGAAAACCCAAGCCCTAAAAAAACGCCCGACCCCACCAGCTTCTCAGTCCCAAATTGCAGCCCCCAGTACCCGAACACCTTTTGACGAAAGTGGTGGGCCCCGATGCCGGACAAAACTCTTCATGAAATGGATGACATAACTCCGGTATGGCTCTTCTTCCGAGCAATTTTCCCTAACGGCAAGCCCCCATCCCAATCAGTATTTGAAAAATACTGGCATGCCCAACCAGTCCTCAATCGCCACCACTTTTTCTGGTATCGTCCGTCTAAATCGCTATCTCAACCAAATCGCCGCAGAAGCTCCACCAGTTTCGTCCGCCTTTGTGTTCTTAGCGAAGCTGTCGCCCAGGTGAAACGACATGCAGCACTTACGTGGAAATGGCAACTTGATGAAACCACCAAAAAGTCGCATGAATACCAGACTTGAAATTTGGATTTTCAAATAAAATAAAATAAATCAAAAATTCAGTAGGGAGCCTGGGGACTTACAGTCCCACAGCCGCGAAAAATGTCGGGCCAGGCCGAATCCCCAACTGAGACGTTCGTTCCCAACTCCTTGCCCAATGACCTATGGAAATTGGACTTACAAAAATCTATCACAGACCTCTCGCCCAGGTTCTACCAACTCCGAACAATGATGGGCCCATCTCCAAGGAACCTTTCACTGATGACCAATGGAAATCAACCATGCACCAAATGCTCACCAACCTCTGTGCAAAAGCAAACAACCTCAAATCCGAACTCCAGTACGTAAATTATAAACGTACTCTTAATAGTACGAGGAACTTAAGTTTCCTAAATGGGGTTTAATGGTTTTATTAATTAATACCTGTTCCATTTTACATATCAGATATTTGGACGAGGCCATTAAAAGGCCCCCAGTAAAATACCAAACATAAGAGCTGGTCTAGTTCTATTAATAGAACTATATTTACTTTCCAACTTTATTTATATCTGAATACTTCGGTAGCGAGATAGCTCAACCGAATATAGGTTTCTAGGGACTATTAACGTTACCTCGTTGATCCGCCGATCAGCCAACCAGATGTGCCAGTCTGATGAAGGCTAAGTTGGTAATTCTTGATAAGTGGCAAGTTATTGGTTAAGACAATAACTAAGGACATCAAGAGTATTTTAATTTTTATAATTTTATTTTCTAAAGATAGGATTTTATGAGTCTCTCAGATTCGCCCCAATGAAATATATCATAGTTTCTAACAGAGCGACAACGAAACACTGAATAAAATCCCTTCGGCGGAAACAGTACTGAGAGGATTATATATAGGCAACGTCTCAGCCTCACAATCCCTCAGAGTATTGCTGTTTTCACGAGGGACACCTAACTTTACTAAAAGTCCCATTTCGTTATTTACTTTGATATTTTCACGATACTTAGAATTTACCTACGCGTTTATTTACTCTAAGGCGTTAATATCGCCTTAATAGACCGAATCTTACACATTTTAAAGTTAGCAAAGGTATTAATTACTTAGACTACTTAAGCGTAAAGGTAAATTAACTACCATAAAAATTTCTTATCCAAGCTAGTCCGTAAGAGACAAGCTAGTAGTCATAAGTTAAGATTATGACCAAGAAAGACAATGCTCCTTCTCAGAAGCGTAAAGCTGAAAATAAGAAGATGGAGAGAGAAGCCGCTAGCGCTGCCGCAGAAGCAACCGCCGCCGCTGCTGATGCGTTTAACCGCGCAGTAGCCGAAGTACTTGCCTCCGACAATAGTAGTCAACAGGACAATGCTTCAGATAAGGATGTAGCCGCTCCGATTAAGGAGACTACTCTCACTGGCAGAGCCCGAGGGCCAACTATTGCCTCAACTTCAAAGCTTGCATTTACGAAGTCAAGAAGTGAGACAAGGGACGCGTCTCAAGACGCCCCAACCCATTCTTCTGACGAAACTCAGAAAGAAAAGTTCCCAATTATAAGGGAGTCCCCAATTATAGGGAACAAGGACAAATCTCAAAAGGAACCTATAATGGAACCAGAAGAGGAGGCAACCTCAAGTGGCAAACCCGAATCTACGTTCGAGACTACTAAGCTAACGCGCATAAGTAAGTTAATTACTGAAAACACTGATCTTAAGAATCAGTTAGCTACCCTTAAGAAAGACTTGACTGTTGAACATGTAGATCGATTGTATAGATCAGGAAAACATACACAGCACTTACGCGAGCATGTTTCTCCGTGCATTACTGAAGCCCTACAGAAGTGGACAGAGCGTCGACAGGCAATTACGCCCGAAGAACGTAAAGACTCGAGTGCTACACCTGTGGCATATGAGCCAGATGTGCTCAGCGTATCTATACCTTACGAGGTACTACCACCAGAACTTCAGGCTAATAACTCGCCTGTTCTGACACCCGGCCGTGAGTCACCCGTCCTGGAGGGTATTATAGACCCACAGACAGGTAGAAATACTCCGCCACTTTTACCCAATTGGGATGACAATCGTCGGAAACCAGTTAAGACTGGGTATGTTTTCCAGACGCATGAATCATCCAAGATTATAATACCAACCACTATCCGAGGAACAGAGCACCGAAAGGCCTCAACCATGGACTTTACAAGTGGTAGTAAACACCCCCGTAAACGTGTTAACGAAGTCGAATTCAATCGCTTCGATCGCACAGCACTACATCAACCCGCAGAGGATTTTCACTCTGACGAGGTGACCGAACTTAACAAATCGGTCGACGATTATACCGTTAAAATGGGAATCGCCCACGATGCGCATCATGCCGAAGATGTATCATATTTTGCTAATATGATTGCGATTAAGCAAAAGCGCATCGACCAGCTACTTCAGGCCCAACGTGGACAAGACCACAGGGATAACCAGAAGTACAAAGGACAGATCAGTTTAAGCAGGTCGAGTTTATAAACAACCATGACCTCGACACGCTAACCCGTACGCTTAATGCGTTTACGGTCATGCTGGAGACGAATGATATCTCTCCCCAGCAATGGATCTCTGCTTTAATGCAGACGTTTGACCCTACAGGTACAAGTTATTTGATCCTGCAGCGACATCAACATGAGCTAGACACTTGTCGTGACTGGCCAGCTGTGTGATGGTTGGTTACATCTTTGTTAAGTAAGGACATGCGTAGCCCCAGGACTGAGTTCAATTTTAACTGAACCAGTTGAGAACACGCCCATTCAGAGTTATATTCTGAAGCTAGATGCTGACCTGAAACGTCCAGATATAACAAAGGACAAGGCAAAGCGATGGTACGAGTTCCTGGTTATGCACGTGTTCTGTAAGAACATAGGATATAACGGCCGTGAGAGCCTGTACACCGAGTTGCGAAGTAAACACGCGACTGAGGCTCGAGACAAGGGACATGAAACAAAGTTTCATCTATCCCGACTTACGTGGGAACAGTTTTATGATACTGTATCCACCCTTTTCCCCGCACACCGAGTACCATCGAAGGGAAAAGTGGCTGTTAAGAAGCCGCGGGAGCACACCGATCACGGATACGTATCCCACTCTATCCACGCGACCCAATAAACGGGCACGCGCGGGGGCGAAGGACAAGGAGCCTCCATTTAAGGAGATTAAGAAATGTGCCGACGCACAGTGTGGGTATGACATGTACCAATTGACCCCTAACGGTTATTGGAATGGCAGGCATGCATTCACCTGTACACACTATCTTATTAAGTGCGACAAGTGTGAGAAGACCAATGGCTATCACATTAAGTCTTGTGACAAAAAGCCCGACATTGAGTTGGAGTGAACGTACTACCAGGTACAATCGTTACACAGACAATACAACGACTCTTTAGATGAGCGTGTAATAATCCCTGTATACTGCAATGGAAACAAAATCCTTGCATTGATTGATCCTGGTTCAGAAATTTCATGTATATCCGATCGCTTTGCATTAATGAAAGATATCGAAAGGAGAAC